CCAAGGTTTGAAGGTCGGGTGAATGTTTCCCTGCCCAAATTGATCAGAAGAATCCCGGAAATCGACATTTTACCTGGCTTGGTCGATCGGTCCGAATTCCAGCTTCCCATATGAGAACCAGCATTAAAACATATTGGACCAATAATTGCCGACTGCAGACATTGGAGGTTGAAAAAGAAGCAAGGGTAGCATTAATACATACGACCAGCTACGAATTGTATTCTTGGTGACACCTCTTTTGATGCACACGCCTTCACGTGTCAAGTCATCAAATCTACTCAATTAAAAGTGCTCCTAAAAAAAACTATCACAGTGCAAGCATTAGTTTTGTGCTTGCCATTTTATCGCGCCGAAAACTTATCTCCAATCGCACCTTTCTATTTGTACTTTCCAGTTGCATCATTTCCAACAAATGTTCAAAAAAGGCAAAAAGAAACGCCATTCTACAGCACATTTCAATCATCGACCCCTGCCAACGGAGCCAACCCCGCGCCTCGCGGCTGGTATCGAGGAGCGATGCCGGTGCGGCCCGAGACTGCCGGCCGAAAATGCATAAAAACGCACACATACGCTCATCACAAGCCACGCTCATGAACACATTAAGGCATAACCTCCACGCAATAACCACCAATACCACTTACCATGCATCTCGCGTATTTGGCGCCTGAACATTTCGCCATTTCTCTTTAAACATGTACCCTGTCCCTGCCATAACGATTGAGATGTCTTCCACCTCACAACCCTTTATTAGGCTCCCGCCCCCGAACTCTCTTGATGTGAACCCCATGCCTTCAATACCAAATTTTCACCGATCGTTACATGTAGGCTATCTGTTCTATTATTCCGAGAAAGCATTAGTTGCAAAAAAGACATTCGGCTTTCATGACCTGGCACAGATCCAATAAAAAAATCATCCAAAACATTTTACCAACTTTCCCTAAAACGTCTAAATATACTACACACGTTAAGAGCATAAGCAGCGCTGAGATACTGTGCGCATCGCGGTCGAATATGCCACCGATTTTTAGCGACCTGCACCCTAAAAGAATTTCGAGAGAGAGAGAGAGAGAGAGAGAGAGAGAGAGAGAGAGAGAGAGAGAGAGAGAGAGAGAGAGAGAGAGAGAGAGAGAGAGAGAGAGAGAGAGAGAGAGAGAGAGAGAGAGAGAGAGAGAGAGAGAGAGAGAGAGAGAGAGAGAGAGAGAGAGAGAGAGAGAGAGAGAGAGAGAGAGAGAGAGAGAGAGAGAGAGAGAGAGAGAGAGAGAGAGAGAGAGAGGAGAGAGAGAGAGAGAGAGAGAGAGAGAGAGAGAGAGAGAGAGAGAGAGAGAGAGAGAGAGAGAGAGAGAGAGAGAGAGAGAGAGAGAGAGAGAGAGAAGAGAGAGAGAGAGAGAGAGAGAAGAGAGAGAGAGAGAGAGAGAGAGAGAGAGAGAGAGAGAGAGAGAGAGAGAGAGAGAGAGAGAGAGAGAGAGAGAGAGAGAGAGAGAGAGAGAGAGAGAGAGAGAGAGAGAGAGAGAGAGAGAGAGAGAGAGAGAGAGAGAGAGAGAGAGAGAGAGAGAGAGAGAGAGAGAGAGAGAGAACATGCATGCATGTGTGTGTAGGTGTGTGCGTGCGTGCGTGCGTATTTATATCACACTTTTAAATGAAGAGCGCAGCTTATTCTGCATTTGAAAGTTCCTTTTGCACACGACTTCAGTCTTCCCGACAATGGATTTTTGTTAGGTTCACATTCATGAATTGCGTCACCGATCGATACCATTCAAGACAGCTAAAACGTTTGCACAATGAACACACCATCTAAAAAGGCGCCCGTTCGATGCATTGCCATCGAACTGCTATAGTTCAGTTATCATAGGCTATCATCGAGCTCAGACAAGTCAAGCACCGTTTAAACACGCATGCAAAACACACAATAAGGGTAAGCAAAGTGTTCGATTAATCGATTAGTGACATGTTTGAAGACGCTTTGTGATTTCGTAGAACATGTTGAAGCTTACTTGTCCCTGGTCTAGCGAGGGGTTTGGTCTGAGCAGCATACACCAGCCCATATTTGTGACGTATAATCTGCCTTCGTGTGTCTGAGCTACAGCTTCCCTATATATGTCGCTGAGGGTACCTCTAATCCAGGGATGTCACCCTATATACTTTCCATAGACAGGGGAGCCTGAGCTCCTGCAATGTTGGCTGAAGTCCCCACCCCCCGCTAGCCCCCTACCCCAATAACCCCCTGAGTCCCCTCAATGCATACAAACAAAAAGAAAACCCTTGGCCAAAGAAATACAGGGGAGTTCTCGTAACTATTACTACAATGAGTACCTAGGCATATCATTGTTAGTCTAATGTCAATTTTGCACCAAAGTGCTTCCTGTAGCTATCTTTCGTTTTTCTCATGCCAAATCATTGATGTGGTCGGCTAGTCTGCAAATGCTTGACCTGTTTTGGACAGGGTAACACCTGCATTGGGATGAAGAACAGCTGACAACGACATGTTACAGTTTTTAAAAGTACAGAATAAAACCAGCCAAAGTTAACCCATGTTTTCCCAAAGAGTGGCAAGTGTACTTGTACGATCATGAAAGAGGTGGCGTTCGATTGTAGATAAATGAGAAAACACGATCAGCGACGGTGATAGCCACCAGTGGTTTCACATCCGTCAAATCGTGACAACAAAAGGTGTCCCAGATGACTCCTTGGTAGTTAAGGATGAGTAGCAGCTGTGCGCCTGCTGCGGGAAGCTCAGTTTAACATCCGTCCGATGTCCACAGTCATGAGCCGCATTTTGAAACCAAATAAATATTTCTTCTTTTTTTGTTTCGCTTAACATCAGAGGTGTAGGGTAAAGTGGTCGAAGTCCGGGGAGAAATGAGATTTGTGGGTTGGTCGGATCAGCATCACCGGTTTACCCCACCCCCCCCCCCTTGATTTCAGAAAGTGACGCCCCTGACCTAATGGCAAAGTCATGTGTTTTGGTAAGCTCAATTGTATATTTTGCATGTGCCTTCTTGGCATATTTTTGCATATTTTGCATGTGCCATCATCGGTTTAGCCTCCAATAGCTTCAGAAAGTGACACCCCTGATCCAATGGCAAAGTCATGCATTTTGGTCAACTTAGTTGCATATTTTGTATGTGCCTTTGAACGGCGCGTTGAACGACTGCACCGCGAGATTTAAAGGCTAAACAATGAACGAACCTTTCTTAAGATGATGCTAATCGTGCAAGAATTGTTATTATTAGTGCTATCGACTGATAACATAATTTACGAGCACGAAACCACCACGCGGTTATTGTCAGTAGGATCGAAAGCCTGCGTAAAAATACCTTTCCAACCTACAAAAATGTGTAGTGTTTCACTGACGCAGTAAATACACAAATAACCATTTATGAGGCAACAAAAACGACTGCGATTGGCTGTTAGAAAATTTGTTTACCTATTTCGGGACATAACTTATTTCGTCAGAGCTTCAGCATGAAATGGCGCAATTTTGGAGCGCAGATAGCATTTAAATCATGGTAAGGTAAAACTATAACTCGGCACTTCCGCAAAGCAACGAGACGTCAGATTACGCTCATGGAAACATCGACACTTGACGAAAATATTTGAGTTGGATGCATCTTTTCCAGCCGGCAGACACTGAACAGGATCACCTCGAACTTTGAAGTATCATCATCTCATGATGATAATGATGAACTAAAAGATTCGAAGATACGGGTCGAGAGCTAGAAACTCAGACCTAAAACTAGCACGTCTCGACTTCTTCTGCTTACTTGATTAAGAGGGACCCGTTCTGATGCGGGCACGCGAGCCGGATGTGAAAAGACCACCCGATAATAGCGCTGCCCTGCTGCTGACAGATCAGCTGCCAGGTACGCGCTTTCGGATATTTCAAAAAAGCAAGTGACACATTTTGAACGGAATGCATTTCCACCCATCCGCAGATTCGCCCACCCGTGGTGGGTGGGTTCGAATCGCCTCAGACGCATGTCCCCGCGCAAGGCTAACAATTGACGACCAGGCTGTTCCTCCACAGCCCACATCTCCAAGCCGTTTAGATTACCAAGATTCCCTGGCCCCTAAACGCCCAAACCCGACAATTGCCCAGTTGTTCGGCCATGGAGTCCATGTGCTCGGTCGATGTCGCACTCGTCTATTCGGAGATCCGGAAAGAACTAGTTCATAGTGCTGGCGACGAAGACGTTGATGTCCCCCTGGTTCCTTGCGTCAGTATCACCCCTGCCCGCTCAGTTCTGGCCAACGCCGACAGGGATGCCACGGGTCGTCTGGGTCACCTCCCGCTCCCGCTCCGCCCGGGAAATACCGGCTGGGCCTTTTGTGCGCCGCCCCACAAGGGTGGCTCCAGACGGGCGCCGCTGCATCGCTGCCAAGCGTTCAGCAGACGGGAAGACAGGGCGGCCTGGCAGCGATCTCAGCTGTCCGTACCGCTTCGCAGCGTCTTAACATTCGGCCGACTTTTCTGCAGCAGAACATTCTCGATAACTGTCGCCTTTTGGTCTTCAGCATAGCGTTCGCGTTGTCTGAGCGGTCGTTTCGGAAACCGAGCCGCACGTGTAAAATATGTGTGGTGGCAGTTGAGCCCATGCGCTAGGATAGCTGAGATATGCGGCAACGCTAGCGTGAAATCGCTGACCATTTCACCCACGCCGGTGCAGGGCCGCCGGCGGAAAGCAGCTTCCCAGCCGTTTTTGCGCAATGTTGTAGTAAATATTGCGGAGTGTCATATTTAATTTGAACCGTGTACATTCCAGCCAGCGAATTCCCGCGCTCTTCATTTCCGCTAAAATATGGTAGATGTACGGACGTAGCACCATTTGACGAGCTCTAGGTAGAGCTAGACCCGTGGAGTATTCGTACCGTTAGTCGGTTACCATCAGTCAGACCACACCATGTTTCGGCCGAACCGGTGGGCCAGTTGGATCGCGTGCAGCCAGCAGATGGGCGCAGCTCCCACGGGCCACCTCTGACCGCCCGGCTGACGCGCTACTCACCTCGCCGTTGAGGTAGCAGAAGATGAGGGCGACCAGGGCGCCCTGCAGGCCGTCCAGCATGTAGTCGGCGTAGTAGTACAGCTGCATCCAGGTACAGGTGCCGCGGGCCGGCCGGTAGATGGTGACGATGAGATGTAGTCCGAACAGCGGCACCAACACCAGGGTCGCGCGCACCGCTCGCCTGTGGAGCGCCCGGGCGAATGTGGTCATGGAGGGCGGGGTGACGATGGTGGCGCCGCCGCGTGAAGACGACCGCCGGTCCGGAGCAGCGTCAAATGGATGGCAGAGGTAACGACAACGCGTGAGGTCAGAGGGGTGGAGGAGGTGTCGACGCCGTGTGGACGGCAGGATCAGAGGGTTAGCAGAGGTGACGACATCGCGTGAAGGACAGGGCCGATGGAGCGGAAGAGCTTTTAAGGAACGCCGTGCACGTGGGCACACCCGTGCACTTGCCGTCTTAGCGCTCAGGGGCCGTAGCGGTACAGGGAGGGGTGCATGTTACGATACCGCAAGAAGGGCAAAGGTGACCACAACGCTGTGCTGTGGCAAAGGTGACCACACCGCGTGAGCGAGAGCCGCCCGCCTGGTAAAGAGAGGGAAAGGGGAGGAGAATGAGAAAGTGGTGGAAGCGATGTCAAATCATCAAAAAGTACCGCCACCTAGCAGTAAAATAAGGGATGAGCGAGCTTGGGCCTCAGGTGAGGACGCATTTGACATTGCTTTGCAGATAAAACACTGTTATCTGTCCTGTGTATGTTAAGAGCGGGCCACATCTACCGCTGCTGCCCGCAAGGTTGTCCCCGTTATGTGACGATTGTTCTTGTTCTCAAGCACCGAGCCTATCGCTAGCCAAACACAGAAGGCAACTCTCGGAAAATGTCTGCTGTAACCAGCTTTAATGGATTTCCCTTATTGCAATAACGAAATGCGAAAGCCTCTAATCACTGTGGTACGGTGTGATTTTACTTGCATAAAGATGAAATAGATGTAATAGGTTCTCAGCACCAACGTGTCACGGACCATGTGTCGGAGGTATCCACGAGCTTAAGCAGCGAAACAATGTGAACTGAGATTTCTTTGTTGTTGTGACTCACGTCAAAGACACGAAACGGGCGGCGGCCCTACCGGCGTCGAAGTCGTTGGTTGTTCGCACAGCGAAGCAAGCGGGAATAGGTTGTCTAAACAATTAAAGAGGTGTGTTCGTTTGCCTGTTTGCGTGTCTACATCTGTTAGCCACGCGCACAGCGTAGATGACAGGGCTTGCAGTGGGCTTGCACACTCAGCGCTTTAAGCCTTTGTGACGATTCAAGACATAAATTCATGCCTATCACATGTCGTGCTGCCGTACACCATACCTTGTCTTGGCATAAAGGAGATAGGCATTGGGAAGAGAAGAAGTCGGCATTGGGGGAGGGGAGCGCTCCGGAAAGCGTGTAAAAGAACACCCCCGTCATTGTCCGCTACAGCGCGCATGACTTCCTTGGCTTCCCTGAATCCATCGTCAGACTTTGACCTGGCCTACGTCAGCGACTTTACAAGGAACATCTAAATTTGTACCACCGAATGACCCGCCATTCCATTATCCACAGCTATGTCCAAATTTGGCGGGGCTACGCCGCGTCGTTCGGAAACTATTCCGGAAAAAGCTTCGTGAGGTCAGTCTGACCCCCACCCGAGCACGTGTTAAAGCTACACATGTTACGGATTCATCCAGAGCTTCCTACTGCTAAGAGGAATGGCGGCTTTGAGGTGCAGCGAACATTGATGGCATAGACTTCTCATATTGCCCGTTGCACCTCAGACTTAGTGTACTGGTCGGTGGATAGGCGTGAGATAAAACGTTTTTTGTCGTCAGCATATTGTATATAAAGCTAAATGGAGGCGTTAGAGGCGTTCAAAAGTGTCTTTTGCACCTGTTGATACCAATATTGCAAATGCTTTGCTCTACATCATCGGAATCATATTAGGAAGTGGGAGTTCTGCACCTGCAATGATTATGCGAATATATTGAAGGTCGTCAACACTTCCGGCTGATTGCACGATGACGTCACAAAACCAAAAGTGGCATTGTTTGAGGTGGTTGTAGAACCAAACTATCGATAAATGTCGGGCTACAGGGATCCAGCTTTGCAAAACACGTAGGAGTGAGGAAGAAAAGGGGAAGAGGAAGGGTTGAAGGACAAAAAATAGCTAAGTCTGTCCCCGAAATGCATTTACACTTGCACAAATGGAACAGTTTTCTCCCCAGATTTCACGCACTTCCTTTTCACAGCTGAGAGTAAGGTTTTAGTGTCTCAAAATTGGTGTTGGGGTCTGAATCCCCGAAATTGTAATGGATGAAAAACAACCTGCATCTCTGGAAGCATGAAATTGCATCCCTGGTTAGGAGGCACAATACATAATAATATATCCATAATTACTGTCAAACCAACACAATATGTCAGTTTAGCTGTTTCATTATCCGTTACCGTCCCTTCTTAAACCACGCAATATTTTGGCATCGAAGGCCAATATGGATAACTAATGTAATCGTACCTGCAATTCAAGTTATTTCTTTATAAATTTCTTAAATATCGCGCACCATTGCCAGTGAACGCAAGTCGTAGTTATAACGGAAAATGTCATGCTTGCGCAGCCAACCCGTAAAACATAAAATGAGCGACCACATATTTGTCCGTTCGTTTTTCAAGCCCTTTCAAATCTGAACTTACCTGAAGACCCCCTCCCCCTGCCAGAGCGGACTTGGCGTTGACCACTGTCAGTGCGTGGACTATTACAACTTACTCTGCTTTCGTAATGGCCAGATGCTCAATGCCTACTTGCAGGAATGGCACCAGTGTGGGAGCGACTCATCGGCCAGAGACCGTCTATTATCACCTGTAACACATTTTTACGGCAAATAGATACAGCTCTCTGCGCCCGACATAGACACCAAACCAGATGGCCTCTCAACTTACTCTGGTATAGCCCAAGATTGGTCACTATTTTCAGGGCTCAGCCCCCTCCTGTGCTCAGAAAAGCGCAACCCATAGTGTCGAACTGAGTCCGTACCTTCATTCGCACGCCCCTGTTTTACGGGTGTCTGTTATATGTTTGTTAAAGGTTCCAGAAGGAACGATGCCCACGTCAAGATATTAAATAACCATCAGATGTCACTAAATAAATTCAGTTATAACTATTGTAATACTTTCAAGTGGAAAAATTGTTCAAAACAACACTATTTCTCAGTTTAGTGAATGCACTCCCCAGTAGGACATTATTTGATTGTGTCATCGTACCTTGCGCAATGTTGGTAGCCAATTGATGGTCGTTCTATCTTAAAATTGTGCTCACGAACGTCAGATATGAACGACCTCACAATCATGTTCTTAATGATTGGATGGCATGGCCAATGGAATAGCAGGATTTGAATGACGTTATTATGGGGTCATGGATACCTGTGTGGCTGAAAACATCTGCACATCTTTCCGTCGCATAACTCAGTAACTAGAGGGGTTTAAGTCTCAAGAATGATCATGCTGTAAACTAGACCGAATGGTCCTTAAGATAGCTATCTTAATTTCATTTTCGTTTCATTTCAAAACCACACACAAATGTGGAACATTCCCTTTTAGGAAATATGCCACCTTATTGTGTTTGATATTGATAGATCAGACGCGTCTGATGTGATCGGTAATATCAGGTTTCCCGAAATCCTGAAAACTAATAAATTCGATTTCAAGCAGCCGTCCATGCCAGGAAAAATCTCATTTGACTCCTTGCTCACCACTATAAAAAGTAATTTCAAAACATGTGATGTGTGTAATATTTGCAATATCATTTGTCACAAATGTTCGTGTAATGAATGATTTGAAACCTTGAAATACCCTATTTAGGAGAAAAATTGTGCAGACAGGATGACGATGCATACGCGTATGACACAAATTCAACGAAACGCGATAATATCGCTTTGATTTCTCCCCTAAGACGTTAAGCACGGTGACTTTCCGAAGAGCCCTTTGTCTTTGTGCATCTTGGTAACTGCCCATTTCCGCCCGCTGTCAGCCATAACGTGTATTTGTACTAAAGCCATCGACACCGGGAAGGGTGCAACTTTTAAACCCGCAAGCTGTCAATGCGCTGGTTAAAACAACTCAAAGGCGGCACCTCTAGCCGTTGGCAATCCACGACAGCCGCTAACAGATTCTGCTGTTGTCATAACTACAGCATTTGCGATAACAACGGCTGTCGCGATAACTCCAGTCTTCGCAAACTAAGGGTACACTCTCGGGCTACGAGGAAAGCAAGAAGTGTAGTGCTGTGACAACACGACGACGGCGTAATCTGGACTCGAAACTATTCAAAATTTATATCTTCGTTACATGTCGATGACGCTATAGTGGCACTACCCAGTACCATTATTATACTAACTTATCCTGAGGTTTTAGGGACACGCTCTTCAACCGCTGCAGCTTACTGGCAAAGCGGCGGTCTTGAAAGTGACTGGATACCGCTGCATAGGAAACGATGCAGCACTTCGATCGGCCGGCGCTACGCTTTCTGCAAAATGTAGCAGTTGTGTAACGTCGCCCCATCAACGCCTGCGCTCATTGGTTTACCCTATCAGATTAATCTCGGCATAGCTGCCTCGCTGGCGAAAGTGACCCACTACCGCGTGACACTTTCAGGGCACACGTCTCCACAAGTGTTGGCCGTCTCAACAAGCGCTGCGGTGCAGGACGTTTTTCTGACCGTCATGAAAATAAATCTCCGATGATGGTGTGCCACGATAGCGTCCTAGCACCGGATGCCAGAACTTGGTACGATTTTGAGGAAGAATGTTCTACAGTGTGCTGCCCTACGAGGTTAGCTATTTTGCTACACGGTTTTCCCTAGACAAGGATATATTAGGTGGTGCGTTGGGTGACACCAATCCATCGATGCCAGTCCTTTTGATACCGCCAGGGAGCATATCGCTCCGCAGCACAGCTGGGCCGAGTGTCGTCTGCTTCACTGTATGCTGGATGTGGCGTAGGCGGCCACTGAATGTGTGACGCCAAACACGGCAGCCACCACAAGGTTTGTATGAATACCGTGCTGAAACCGATCAGATCTGCAAAATCGGCAATCGGCCGATCAGCAAAAAAGCCTGCAGAAAGTAAGGTGCTATTCGCAGCAAGAGACCAAAGAGCTGATGCCGCA